TATAAGTTAGAGCCTGTTTATCCCTAGCTGCTCTCAGCATTTTCTCTTTATCCTTGTATTTTGCCAGTTTCGCTATGATATGTTGTGCAAAAGATCGATTCAAGTTATATCTGAAGGGAATTCTCTGTGCCTCTTGTATTTCAATGCCTGTTTCCTTCCCCAGATCAGGGAAGTTCTCAGCTATGATTTGTTCAAGTACACCTTCAGCCCCTTTCTCTCTCTCTTCCTCTTCTGGAATTCCTATTATACGGATATTGTTCCATTTGATTGCATCACTTAGTTCTCTACCTCTCCCCTCATACTCCTGAATTTTTTTATCTCTCTTTTTCTCGGATTCCTTTTTTTCCATAATTTTATCTTCTAATTCATCTATTCTCTCCTCTGCCTCTTCAATCTGAGCTGTGGTCGCCTCTGTTTTATTTTGCAGCTCATTTATAGCATTTTTAAGTTCCTCATGACTATTTCTTAGTCCCTTGATCTCTGTAGCAATAGATTCTCTGCTGTCCTCTATCCTTTTTTCAAGCCCAGCGATTAATTTTATGCTATTATTCTAAATTCTTGTTCCTTTATATTGCTTAAATAATTTTTGATCAATTTGTTAGCTGTCCCTACTTCATGGAGTTTCTTTTGAGGAGAATTCTCCCATTTCATCATTTTGGGTAGTCCCTGCTATAGCTCCAAACTGCAGGGCATGTCCCCTGTACTGTCCAGGGTAACTTGTGTTGGTGGGCGGGGCTGCGGTCAGACCTGGTGTCTGCCCCCAGCCCACTGCTGGGGCCACAGTCAGACTGGTGTGTACCTTATCTTCCCCTCTCCTAGGGGCAGGACTCACTGTGGAGTGGTGTGGCCCCTGTCTGGGCTGCTTGCACACTGCCAGGCTTGTGGTGCTGCTTTGATGAGATCTGGCCAAGGGCGTATTAGCTAGGGTGGATCTGCAAGGTAAGCATAGGGGCGGGAGGGGCAGGCTTAATTCCCTTTGCTATCGGTGGTCCCCTGCGGGAGGGGCCCTGAGCACAGGGAGGGAGGCAGGCCCGTCAGAGGGATGGAGCCACAGAATCCACGGGCATTTGCACCGTGCAAGCAAGTTCGGTGACGGGAACTGGTTCCCTTTGGAATTTCGGCTGGGGGATGGGAGAGGGAGATGGCGCTGGCCAGTGCCTTTGTTCCCCCACTGAGCTGAGCTCTGTCTTCAGGCTCAACAACTCTCCTTCCCCACGTCCCCTTGCCCTCCGTGCTCTCCGAGAGCAGAGCTGTTGACTTTTAACATTCCAGATGTTAAGTCCCACTGGCTGTCAGAACTCATGGAGTCCGGCCCCTCCGCTTTTGCAAACCAGACTCCGGGGCTCTGCCTTGCCAGGTGGGCTGCCCCTCCACCGCCCCGGCTCCCTCCCGCAGGACTGTGTAGCGCACACCGCTTCTCCACCCTTCCTACCCTCTTCCGTGAGCCTCTTGTCTACCTTGGCTCTGGAGAGTCCATTCTGCTAGTCTTCTGGTGGTTTGGGGGTTATTTAGGCAGATGTGGGTGGAATCTAAGAGATCGGCAGGACGAGGTGAGCCCAGAGTCCTCCTACGCCTCCATCTTCCTTTAATCTCTCATTTAGTTTTTTGAAAAATAAATTGCCGTGTGTATTTATAAAAAGAAAACAGTTGGGACGCCAGGGTGGCTCAGATGGTTAAGCATTCAACTCGATTTCAGCTCAGATCGTGATCTCACGGTACATGAGATCAAGTCCTGTGTAGGGCTCTGTGTCAATAGTACCGAGCCTGCTTGGGATTCTCTGTCTTTCTCTCTCTCTGCCCCTCCCCGACTCTCTCTCTCTCAACGTAAATAAAATAAAATAGATAAATAAAATAAATAAAATTTAAAAAATAAAAAGAAACTTTAAAAAGAAAACTCTTCACAGTTGTAGATTTCTGTGTGCCTACATAAAAAATCACTACCATGCTTCACACATATGCCTAACTTCCATACATTCAAATTTAAGAGTAATATGAATTATTTACTACTGCAAAATGCTCCTACTATGTCATTGGCAACCCTTGCAAATACCGTGTCGATTCTTGAGTACCTCTAGAATCACAATTTGAACTAAAAAGAAAGCAAGAATATGGATATTGGGCACCACAGGAAAATAGTACTTGATTATATAAAGTTCTGTTGCATTTTTGCTATTTTTTTCAAATTAATTAGTTTTTTATCTAAGTGTTTCTGTCGCTTAAATTCTCTTCATACTCAAAAGCAGCGTCTGTTAAAGCATAACTGCCTTCATGTCCCTTGGGCTCTGTCACTTTGTTTCACTAACACAGAGCAACAGGTGTGGGGCTTCTCCCTGGGGCCTGGATAACGTTGGTCCTAAAAGCAGAGAATTAGGGTTAAGACCTCTAGCCGGAAGAGAGAGCCAGGTCCCTAGTGGCAAAGATACTCTCATGTTCTTCAGTACATGTGTGTTTTGTGTGTTTGTAATGGATGAACTCTGTAAGAGGTGGGCTCAGGGCAAAGGTCCTTGTTTCCAAGTTTTTCTTAAAAAAACAAAAAAAAAAGAAAAAGAAAAAGAAAACTATCCCAAATCATCTCCATTAAGTATAGGCCTCCTTTACAAGGAGACACATATAATTTTTTATAGTCTGACCATTTATCGATAGCATTCACTGTTGATTTAGTACTTTACCTCTTATTGTGCCTTTTTAACATGCATGAAGAGCATCCATTTGTATCACTCAAATGCTGCTTCTCTGGGTACTGAGTAAAAAAAAAAAAAAAATGATTTTTCCCCTCTAAACTCCTTTAGCATTCATTTGAATCAATGCTATGGTACTTACCACAGTCTGCCCTCTGTTATGAGTATTTGGGTATATCACCTTTCCCATGTCATTCATTCAGTCAACAACTATTTCTTACAAAACAAAGCACCGATTCCTATGAAGCTTATAATCTCATGTGGGACACAAAATAAACAAATATTCAATATCCTGGAGCGGCAATTAAGAAAATAGAGCCAGTTAAGACAATAGAACGTTTTAGGAGTGCTATTTTATATATACAGGTAGTCTGGGAAGGCCTCTGTGAACAGAGATGTGATAAAAGGAGGGAATGAGCCACGGAAATAAGTGGAGATAAAGCTGTCTAGGTGGAGGCGTCTGTAACTATAAAGACTGCGAAGAAATGTGTTCCGTAAACAAGTGTTGCTAAAGAGGGTCAAAAGAGGGGGAATGTAGAGGAAAAGAAGTTATGTCCGAAAAGGACCCAAAAGTACAACTATGTGGGGGGACTTATAGGTCAAGGTAAAAAAATTTAGATCGTAAGCTCTTTAAGATAGGTGACTAGGTGTGGTCTTTGCGTCACTCAGAGGTTCTTAATAGTGCCACCCATGACTATGACAAGCTATGTGTTTAAGGAAACTTCTGTACCTCTGGCTTTCAACTGATAACAATTATCTGTTAATTTTGTCTGATTTGAGGATATAACAGGAAATGTGAAGTGCAGTTAAATAGCTATCTAAAAGTGTAATATAATATAAATTACAATGAAATAGTAATAATAATAATAATAATAATAATAATACAAAGTAAGGTCTCTGTGGTAATCTTTGATCTTTTTCCTCCCAGGATTTCCAAACTGTATTACCATCATTTGATCTCTTCTCAAAGTATGGAAAATTATATTCAAAAGCTGGACAAATTGTATAAAGGTATGCTATTTTGCTAAGAAGTATTTCAAAAAGTATATTAAAAACATTTTAAAAATCAAACAAGATTGACTTTAACTCCCAAGCATTTTTAAAACTGTGCTATAATATTTATCTATAATAAAATTTTATCTTTTGTTCTGATTTAATGGCTTTAACATTCAAAAATCATGGATTTTCTTTTTCAAATCTCCCAAATAGACTCAAAACACATTAAGAGAACTGACAAAAATCCGAGGTAACCTTTTAAGTTAATTAATACAGTAAATAGGTTTACACAATGCAATGAAAAAAATACTGATAGTGTCCAAAAGTTAAAATAGTATAAAATATTATATTCAGTATGTGTGCTATTTGAAATATGAGTTGTCTTTAGGGGATTCCAAATAAGTAGTGTCTAAGTTCTCTGATTATCAAAGTTTACAGTACGGAAAAGAACAGAGATACCCATATAAACTTCAAGATCACAAAATAAGCTGTCAGTGAAAACTGTTTAATTGCTGAGAAGTTTTAGAATAGCAAGTGATTATAATAAAGTAAGGCTAATAGAGATTGTGGCACTTTCGACCAAATTAAAGGAGGTATGGTAAGAAGACAGCAAAGATGACTACAGTTGAGGGAAAAGCGCAGCAGTGAGAAATCATGCTGGGTGAAATTCCCTAGGTAGCCTCCCCCACCAAGAAGCAAGGGAAAAACAGGACTGGTTCATTGGAAAGAGCACAGAGTAGATTCAAGCAACTTGGGTTCTGTAGATTTCATGTCAGTTTAACTTCTCTCCCCACTTACAACTTTGGATGCCTCAAAGTTGTTCTATATGTTAAATGTAGATACTAATATCTACCTCTTAACTACTCCAAAGGAATATATGAAGGGGAATATATGAAGGGAAATATGAAATATCCTGAGCTAATACAAAAGCATACATATAATGCCAAGTGGAATTGTGGTTTCAAAGGTTTATAAAGTATCGGTACAGATTGGAGCATCTATCTAGTATCTGTGACTCACAGGATGAAGTAGTTTTAAAAAATTTTTAACATTTATTTATTACTGAGAGACAAAGAGAGACAGAGTGTGAACAGGGGAGGGGCAGAGAGAGAGGGAGACACAGAATCCAAAGCAGGCTTCAGGCTCCGAGCTGTCAGCACAGAACCCGACACGGGGCTCAAACTCACAAACTGCGAGATCATGACCTGAGCTGAAGTAGGTGCTTAACTGACTGAGCCATGCTGGTGCCCCCAGGATGAAATGGTTTACATAAAATTTTCCATATTTGTGTATGACTTCAGATATTAGTTCAAAGATAGAGCCCATTATAATGGTGAAAGGTTGAAAACAGCATAAACACTCAATAAATGCTGAGTTAAATAAATGAGGACATGAAATGCAACATTCTGAAGACATCAAAAATACTAACATAGATCTTTACCTATTAGTTTGAAAAAAAATGCTTATATTTCTAAGAAAAGAAGGCTGAATTCAACAGAACCTGTGTAGTCCGATTTCATTAAAACTGTGTGTGTGTGTACATGTATATCTATAATGTGTATGTATATATAAAAGCACGCATGCACTTATTTGCATATTACATGCATATGTATACATCCTTAAAAGGCAAAATGTTAGCAATAGTTATCCCTAGATAGTGAGATTATGATTTCCTTTTTGGATGACGCCTCTTTGTAGTCTCATTTTATGAAATTTGCCTCTAATCAGACAAAAGCAAAGTGTTGAAACAAAATACTCCAATAGGGGCTACTTGCCCTTCTTTACCAATTATAGAAACATCTTGACTTTCTTCTATTCAATCATCGTAATTTAGAGACAATTATCTTTTTTTCTGAAGACAAAATAATTACTTGCTAAGTTATTTATAAGGAAGACAAGGATGAGTAACAAATGTTTCACATTACTTTTAATTAAAAAGAGTGCCCAATGCACAGATATGTGACGGAAATATGAGATAGAAATTTAAAAAAAAAAAAAATGTTTGCTAACGCTTCTCTTGGATCTGGAACTATTTTGTGAAATGAAAATATTATCAAAATGTCATCTCCTCTTCTTGGAAAGGAAATTAATGCCTAGTGTTTAATTTTGGTAAGTGGAGGGTAGCAGCCTTAGCTGAGGCTCTCCTATTAAGATTTAATTTCAGCAAATACAACAGAGTGCTTCTGTTCTTTGTGAAGAAGGCCAAGACGGGGACACTTACCCCAAAGTGTTGAATAAAGATGCCATAGTAATTTTTTGAGCTATCTATTTGATTGCTTCAGCTTCAAGGTAGTTCATCACTTCACTATAATTCACCCTACATTGCCTCTTACACCCATACTACACTTTCCCATCAGTCCGATTAGAATAGTGATGCCTTTACCAGATTAATCTTTCTTTCCTTAGCACGTCTGCGTTTAGGATAAACAGAGCCAACGCTACCCATTTTGATTAATACACTAAGATTTCAGCCTGGAAATGGCTGAGAGTGAATTAGATTTTAAATACGCACATATTTTAAAATCTGCTCTCTGAAAAGAATATGACTCCTTATAATTTCTTTAACTTTTCTTTATAACTGCTTACTTCTGTAACCTTTGGTTACAGTTTCCTAAAGGCAGCTTTGTTGAAAATCGGATTATACTAGAGCCTTTGGAGGATATAGACTGCTTTGCCATAAAGACTGCTACATCCATCTTTCCAGGCAGAAGAGTTTCTTTAAGGACTCAAGTGAAACAAAAATTAGCAAAATAAGGTGAAATCATTGGTTAGTCTGGCATCAGCGTGAGTTGTCTTGCATTACGTGCTCTCCAAGTTTTTCAGATTCTTCTTTGTTTGGTCCAAGCTATCTTTCTGCTAAAATGTGGTTAAATTTTGAGGCCAGATGAGTTGTTTTAATTAAATTATGATGCATGAAAACCAATGTACTTCCCCCCCCCATCCCATACCCCTTTTCATAGGAATTTGGCACATAAATCACTCAAACAGCTGAGAAAAAAAATTAAAATAAAAAGTACATTTAGTCAGCACCTGAGTTAGGAAAGGGGTGAAATTCTATTGTCTTTTCCCAGAAGAAATAAGGTCTTAGCAAACGTGGAAGGAAAAAGAAGGTATCTGAAGAGAAAGGAATAATCAGGCATATAAGCTATATATGTGCTTTTGGGGATTACTTTTTTAATTCAATAAGAGAAATGATGAAACTTTGTCATTCAGTTTGACACTATGTGAATTTATAACCCTTTCCAATTTAGTAATAATGAATCGGCAAAAAATGAAATGAAACAAAACCAAGGTATCTTTAGCATCTTTTTCTTGGCTCTGTGGTCCTTTGAATAAGGATAATACAACAACCCACTTGCCTGTAGGAAGACAGTCTGCTGCTTCTCCTTGACTGAGGCAGGTGGGCTGGGCATTCTACGTGTCTGGTGGCACATATGATCGGCATGTCTACCAGGAGCTGCAGCGGTGTGGACAGAGATCAAAGAATAGGGTAATTCCAGCAGGGCTGGGCATGAATCATATCATGGTGTAGCCTCCCAGACTTCTAACTGAGCTAACTCTATGTGAGCAAGATTTAAATAGAGAATTTGAGAACTCTTGTTACTGGGTTCTTTTTCTTCGTTCATTGTACCGTTTTGTTTTTAGAAAGTAAAAGAAGACAAAAGATAAAAAGGAGGTTAAAGTGTGAAGTGAGTGTGGAATAGAAGGACCCCCACTGCCTGGATTCCTGGATTCTACTTCTGTGACTGCTGAGTGACCTTGACACAAGTCTTTTAACCTCTGAAGTTTCTCTCTCTCTCTCTCTCTCTCTTTCTCTCTCTCTTCTTTGTCCCAAAGAAAAAATTGGAAACACGTTTGGTTCATTCAAAAATTCTGCAGTTATAATAGTAAAATAAAAATGAGTATCCTACAGAAAATACACTTAAACCATACTTCTTACAGTGATTCAACGAACTATAACGTTTTATAGCCAACTGCTCATAATTATAGTGTGGATCTATGTACACATAGTGTGTGAATAGTGGGTATCTTGCCTCTGAGAATGTCTGTCACAACCACAGCCCCTGGTGACCAAAAGTGCCATAAATGGCTCCCCTGAAGTGGCCATATTCTGACCCCATTGCCCTAGTCACAATGGATGAAGCCAGTTTGGGGTACCCAAGTTAAAGGCAGCCAACACGTAAGTATGAATGATGAATGGTTTAAAGTATGAGTGGAATGAAGTGGTATGGTGTGACAGCTCTGCTCTGAGGGAAATAGGGACTCATCAGACCCATTAGAACCCCCTCAGGACATTGAACTTGTGAACACAGACAAAGACCAGTGGGTATGGGACCAGAAACGTGTAGCCTCCCTCAAATCGAGAAGACATTTGCGGGTCTCTACTGCAAAGAGAGTGAAACAGTAATCTGGCCATTAAAGGTTGTGCTTAGCACATTGAATTCACTTAATAAGTGGTTTCTGAATGAAAAACAAGTGTCTCACTGATTAGATTGTGAAATTTTAGGGTACGCCTTCTAACCCTTTGAATCTGTAATAGCAATTGGCAGTCTATTAGGTATTTTGTAGATGGTAGGTGAATATTTGTTAATTCTGACTTCAGTACAAACTCAGAAGACAATTAGCTGGTATTAGAAAGAGTCTGAACATTGTCCACTTCAAAGCTACGTGGCAAATCTTGTGATTAAATCCATAACCTTGCCCTTGTCATTCTGAGTGTCTAAGCTGGAATTTTAAAGCTGATTGGTATAATGAGGCATTATGCAAGGAATTATGGTTTGTGAAGTTTTATAGGAAACAGATTTACTTTAAAAAAATAAGTTAATTTATGTACTTTGAGAGAGAGAGAGTGGGGTAGGAGCAGAGAGAGAGGAAGAGAGAACTCCAAGCCAGGCTTGAACTCACGAACTATGAGATCATATTCTGAGCTGAGATCAAGAGTCAGATGCTTAACCGACTAAACCACCCAGGCACCCCCAGATTCACTTTTAAAACATCTTCAGTGTTACTTTT